ATACAAGTGGTGATGTCAGGTCCTGCTTTTGCCTATTTTCTAGCCTCCTCCTTTATCCCTTTCTTTCACTGGCTGTATGGTTCCTGAGTTCATAGAAAAGCAAATACATTATAAATAATGCTGTTCTTCCTCAACCATTCTCTAGGACAGAATGGTTAAAGACTTGGTGTATTGTTGTTTCCTGTAATATTTTCTTCAATCACAAGGCAAAGACCTCACAGTGAAATCGGAGCCCTATTGTGCTTGGTACTCTGCAAACTCGTGGGAAGAAGCGGTCCCTCTAAAGTAGTGTTTTGATACTCTCTGCAAACTTGTCATAAATTCAACTCAAAATGAATGCATTTAAATATTTTTCTGTTATTAGGGAGACTGTTTACCTCATTTCAAATTTATGCACGATTTTAATATACTCATTTAATCTGTAAACAATTAATTTCTAGTTAGTTATGTCTAAAATTTTTGGGAAAAAAGTCTTGAGGAGGAGTTCCATAGAAAGTTCCTGTACATTTTATCACAAACGTGAACAAGTCATGATGGTCCAATATATTTCTTAATATTTCTTAATATTATAATAAGCCATGTATCTGTTAAAATATGATTAATTTTAAGCATTGAGTGCATTTGAGACAGAATAAGCTTATCAGGAAAATATTACTGTTTAGTTACATAAAAGGAAAAGTTTTTCAAAATCAAGTATGAGTTGATCCTTTAAGTTGGAACTGTACCGCAGATTGTCCCATTAATCATATACCTTTCTGGATAAATGTTTTTGTCAGTTTAAAAAATGGATGATGCAGTGATTCCCTTCATTCTTAATTGTAGTTTCCCTGTGGATATATTAAAAATCTTTTTAAATAAATCATACTTTCTTAGTAAACCCAAGTTTTGCATCTGATAATGTGATATGTACCATTGGGCTGATCACTGCAATGTCACAATATTGTTTTCCATTTTTATTTGAATGTAAATCACTGAATGAGAAGCAACAAGCTTTCAAGTTGCTAAGGTCATTTCTCTGTGAACTTACTACTAGATGACTTTGACAAGTGTTAAAACTGTGATGAATGAAAATAAACAACAGTATCACAGAAAAAAAGTTTTCTTGTTAATTGTGGGTCATACTTAGAGAAGGAGTATCATGCTGGCCCCAAGAAATTTACCACTTCATCAGTTCCCTGAAAAAAATGACTCACACTCTGAAATGCTGGAGACTTGATATATTCCTAGACTAGATGAGAAACATGTTGCAAAGGAGAAATCCCAAGCACTTAAAATCTTTCTAAGGTAACACACAAGAGAATACTTAGTCTATGTCTTGAGCTCTATAAGAAATAATATTTTCTTAATTATTTTAGGTTTTGCTACCACATCTCATTCTGCACTCTACCATCTCTCTTTTGGATGATATTTTGGTCAAGCTAAGATTTCTCTTTGTGATGTCCCCTGAAAATACTTTGGAATTAAATGTATTCGGCTAAGGAAATCTTCCTTTGTATGTATATGTGTGTATTGAAATAATTTTACTTACCACATCTTTCCATAAGTGCACTGTATATCTGTTGAACCCTTGTCAGGAATGTGCCAACATGCTGCTGGTCTTCCTGTATTGTAAAATTCATCAAGTATAATACATTAATGGCTACTACAGTTACTGATGTCTATAGGTGTGTAAAGAATTAGTGACATGCCTTAGAAATAAGGGTAAATATTAGTAGAGAAATACTAGGTTACAAATACAAGCTATGTGACACAAATAGAGGAATATCAACGGGTATTAATGCCAATATAGCCTAATATCAAGCCATATCTTACTCATCAACAAAACCTAAAATAGCCTAAGCAATAACCATTGCTTCACTTAAAATTACTCAAAGTTTAGGTTTTGGAGGGGTTTTTTGGTTGGGTTTTTTGTAGTTGTTTGGGTTTTTTTCCTCCTGCAGTTTCTACAGTATGTGTAATTTTGATTAATATGGTTTGAAAATACGGTACTCTTTTATAGTCTTGTCTATTTAGTATCAAGTACAACAATTCTCGGACAAAACTTGCAAATTAATATGAAGACAGAGACACTGCAATTTAGCAAGAGTTTGGTTATGTGTGTAAGCTATGAGTAGTGTTGCCTTTATTGGCCTTGTAACTTTTATACCTTGTTCTATGATATACTGCAAAACTTGGGTGACTTTTACACTTGCAAGAATACAAGTTTCTTCAGTAATAATTCTGTTAGAATTTCTTTACTGACCTCTTCCTATAAAACTGAAGCTACCTTTTTAACCAGCTTCCCTCAAATTTGTATTTGTAGTTACTTTCCACTGCAACAAGAACTTCTGATGCATATGTCACCAACACTTGAAGACATAAGTGTCATTTGTCAATACTGTCACTATCAAAATCTTCCTATGAATATTAAGACTAATACAATCTATACAAATCTCTTTGGAAAATAGCTTAGGGTCAAACGTCAGTATGTGGTGGGGAAAACAAATAGTTGTTTTTCTGCTGGTTCACGGGCTTACTCAGAAATGTGATTCAGAACTCCAGCTAGTGTTTGTGCAAAACAACTGGATGATATTCCATAGAATTAAAGTTGCTCCAACAGAATACTTAGCTAAAAGGTAATGAAAACTGTTCTATATTTGACAGGGAATTATATACTGCACATAAAATAACAGCAAAACACCAATAAACAAACCTTCCCATTCTTGCTTTTCCTAAAATTGGAAATAAAGCTAAATTGCCCCTTCAATCCAATATCCTTTTTAGAAGCTCTTGAATTTTGCTCACTCAGTGGTATATTGCTGAAAAAGCAAAGCCTCTTCCAGTAATTTTAGGAAAACCTATCATCAAGCTGTCAGCAGTCTAAATTGAGATTAAAAGTACCAAAGAGAATCCTTCACTATTATCAGAGTCCCAAATAAGTACACTTGAATAGGCAGATAACATCTAGAGTGTACAGTTTGAGACCACTTATTCCTCCATCTTTTGGAGTGTTTTACCAGGATGAAGTCTAATGTTAAATAGTTAGTGACATTCTTGTCTTAACAAGAAGAACTCAGACCAAAGAAAACAAATAGTTGTGAACTATTCTTGGATGCCTGTTCTTGGAATTCTCTTCAGTTGTCACATTGCTGGGTGTTAGGGGCATCTATCTCATCTTCTGAGATGTTATGTGCCCTCAGTTCATATTGGTCCTCAGAGGGAAGATTTCCAGTCCAGCGTAGATTGAGCTGCATGTTTAAAGTTCACTAAAATCAAAGTATTCACTCTAGCTGAAGGTGAGAGTTGTGTCTATAGCATTACCTCTCTGAAAAGGAGGTACCCTGAAAAGGGTGTATTATCACTGGTGAGTCAGCAGAGGCAGGATTTTCTAGGGTTTTATTCATATCTGATAAGTAGCATCCTTGCTGTTTAGGCAAAACTATCTCTATTAAAATAGACGTTTGTTTTGATGAAATTGATAGCTGGTCACCAGAACAAAATCTTAGTGTACTAATCTGCTCCGTTACTTACCTCTTAACATTTTAATATACTATCATCTAAGAGTTCAACAGCTATGACAGAAGATTTCTAAGTTACAGCCTTTAACAAACTATTACCATGATTAATTTTCATTACTATAAATTTCTGATTGTTGTTCTCAGGTTTAGTCAGGCAATTAAGATTTGATTTAGTATTGAAGTTTTTTTCTTCTCCAAAATACTATAGTCCTATTTTATACTTTTATCTTAACCAGACATTGTAAATCTGGTTTTGAATTAATTTCAATTTTAAAAATTATAAATTTTGAGGATATGATTAATTATAAATTAAGAAGTAAGATTGAGGTAGATTCCTTTGATTGACTTTTGCAGTTTATAAACCAATATATCATTAAGGAACAATTGCATAGAAAATAGCAATTATTTTTTCAAGACTCCCTCTTGTAAATTATCCTGAGATTCAAGAAATAGTTTAACTTCTGTATTTCTTTTCTATTAGAAATTACCCTGTAACTTTTAGTGAACACTGTCCTTTGTGTCTTCCATTAAAACCCATCATCTTTTTATGTATGTTGCAATGGCTGGATTGTAAACACTCCAGAGCAAACTCTATCCCTGAACGTGTTATCAATCCATCTAACTTTAACTAATTTTAAAAACTGTGATATTGACTAATATTCAGCAACAAGATCATTTATTTTAGTATCTCCTCTTAACAGTGCAACACTGTTGTTCTATAAAAAATAAGATGGTAAATGTGACTTGGCTTTATATTGCTCTTTTCTTTAGATGAAACATCCAACTGGATGAAGATTAGTTTATCACAACTATAGCTCCACAGTCTAATCTTTTAAAATTGGAATCATAGAATCTTGAAATTTTTAGGATGGGGAAAGATTTGGGTTCCTTTCCTCTCCCTTAACATTTTGCTTTTAAGGATTCTGAGCAAATTGTCTTGGTACTTACTTCTTCAAATGTATTAGACTTCTGGTGTGGGTTTTTAGTGTTTATTATTAATAAATCTATATACTTGTCTGCTTTCTTGCATTATAGGCAATATAATTTTTAAGAGATTCCTTCATTTAGGTCACAGGACAGTGGAATGGCAGAATCATTTTTTAGTTTGGTTTTGAAAAGTATGGTATTTATCCCAGTGTTCTATTTTCTGACTCCTTTCTTACATGTGGACTTAGTCATAATTTCCTTTGGGTAAATATTAATCTGCCACACCAAGAAGAATATTTTTAACATTGCCCAGAGTTTTCCTCATAAAGAAGGTAATTTTTTGAAGCTGTGAGCTGTATGAAAATATTCTTTTAGTAATGATACCTAAGATCATTCTTAACTCTTGTGAGTACAGCTAGGTTGAAGGATTGCAGGCAGTCTTAAAAACAAATTAATCCTCCACAGCTGGTGACTCTGTGCACTTGTAACCACGTTATAGCATTCATCCTTCAGGTGCATCCTCTTTGTGTACTGACTTTCACTCAGAGTACTGATAATATTTGTTTTATCACACAGGCCTCTGGTGACGCTGCCTCCACCTCTCCAGAGATACACTATACACCTCTGCCTTTGGGATCAAGGGACCTTACCAATCACAGAGGTATGAACTGCTGCAATGTGGTAAGCTTTGCTGTAAGGCCTTCTCCATACTGGTTCCTGCTCTATTGTTGTGTTACAGATAAAACTGTACCTTTCAAGCACTAGATGAGAAAACCATATCTGTCATGACTAGAGATTTTAACTCATATTAAATAGGATTTAAAGGCAGTTTATTGTGAAATCAATTAAATGGGTAGATAATAATATTCAGTGATATATTTTGTATGTATGAGAGAAAAATGTAAAGAGATTAGAGTACTTCAATATTCCTATGATTACATACAGCATTGGTAATTTGGAGAGAATTTGTAAACTTTCTAATATTTTCAGAGAGAGAGCTTTTTTAGAGTTTAAAAATTTAGGGCTATAATTTTGAAATGTTAACACACTTTCATGGCACTAAAAAGGGATTCTTCTTTGTTTTTCAACATTAAAGGTAGATCAGCATTCAATTTCCTCTTTCACCAATCCTTAGAACTTAAAAAGCACCATGGGCAAATTCTCTAATTCCTTTTCATACCTGTAGAGCAAAAGTTCAGTGAACAGGTGAAAATCTGAAGCAGTTGGGAAGGGTGAATTTCAAGCTATTTCACCTTTGTTCTAAAAGGGAGAAATTTATAAAGCTTGCAGCATTTTTCAGCTTTAAGCCAGAGCAACAAAACTCTTATTTATTGCCCATGTTGCACATGCAAATCACTTGTGCAGAGGCAGGTTCTGTATAGGATACCAGAATCAAAGTCAGTTTTACATTTATGAATTTATAGGACCTTAGTTTTACTGTGTGTTCAAATTCTGCAGCACTGCAGAAGATTGAGGCAGCATTAGTAGCATGCCTTGTTACTTGAAACCTTCTGAAAGAATCAGGCAGGCAATGCAACTGAATGAGGATCCACGATACAGGTGGGAAGGATGAGGAAAGGAACTGATTAGACTTTGATTTGTTACAGCCTATATCACTGTCGTTGTGCCAGGGCTAAAGATGGGTGTGAAGCTAATACATCCTGGTCTTGGTGTAAATTGATATGGTGCACTGGAAATCAGATGCCCTGAAAGTGCTGTAGTGCATTGCATTCTGTCACTGAGCTCATGTGGTAACTGATACTTTTTAAAGAGAAAGGACCAGACCAAAATCCTGAATTTGAGCACACACCTGGTCTTCAGAGGTTAAAAAAAAAAACAAATTAAAATAATCGCAACCCACTGCCCCCATAATTCCCAAGATATGTATTGTGGCTTTGATTTTTAGGCCAGCATATTTGCTTTGAGATTGTATTTCTGGTGTTGGATTAAATGGATAGGGTCTACTAAGGCAATATGTAGAATAACAGAATGTTGTAAGTGCCCAAGTTCTATAAAAATAGATGAAAAGTACCATTAAAAGCCAGGTATCCTCAGATTTATTTATTTAGATGATAGCGAATGAGAAGTGTGGCTTCATGGCTGATTTTGGAATCCGTCTTGATGAAAGAAATGCCAGGAGTATTCAGCATTAAAAGTTGTGTGCCTGCATTGATCTCTCTTGTAATAAAGCAATTGTGTGGCTCTAGTCATCTTTGCAGACGTGTCCATGTGGGTGTCTATTTAGAGCTGGAGCTTACCAGGTTCAGAGTACCACTGTCTTTGCTAGGGCTTGGGAATGCCCACTCTCTTACTTTGAAAAGGAGAATTATATTCCTTAAATTATCAACATTTTACCCTTAGCTGTTCACATAATTCTTTATTACTTCTGTCTTTACTCTTCCCAGAACTATTCTGCTTTGCATGCTAAACATGTGCTAAAAAGTTCATTGATGATTAAGCACAGTTATAAATAAAGTGAATGGAGAAAAGAGTGTCATCCAAAAAAAGGGTAAAATTGGCCCTAAAAAGATTTTGTTAGCATGATCTATTAAGTATTTATATATATATACATATATATATATATATATATATGTATATATAAGATATATTCACAAGGAAATAATTAAGAAAACTTTCAAAAATTCCAGGTGTTGTAAATAAAGCTTGGAACAACCTGCTGGCAGGGCCCATTAACTCAATCAACTTCTTTTATACAAAGAAAAATCTGTAAGTTCACAAGCCCATAAAAGATTAATTGGAGTCAATAGAAAAATCTCCAAGAAAGGAATTAAATACTTAAACATGCTATTTTAGGTTCTGAATATCTTCAATTTTTTTCCTTCATGAATTCTTTCAGTGTTGTAAAAAATGATTGAATCAACTGTTGCATATGTAAATATTGGCAGCTCTCAATGCAAGCTGGAAAGAAAAATGCTGTAAGTTTGCGAGTGCTTTTATTCGTCCCTGGAGAAACTTGTTTACCAGAATCTGAAAGTCTGGCAAATGGTTTGGTACAGCTTTAAATTGATTTTGCGGGGATTGGGTGGGGAAGCAGAAGCAAGATGAATATTTTCACTGTGATTTCAGTCAGAAATTTTACTTGGACATTTCTTTATTTAGCTATGAATTTTGCAGGGAGAGCAAAAACATGTGTTGCACCATGCATCTTATAGCCTTCATCTTTATGCATACAGTATATTATTTCCAGACAGGATCTAGTCTTTTTAGGTTAACTCCATTTTTTTTACAGACAGTGTTTGGGAATTGTAAAAGTCTTTCTCATTTTCAGAGCCCACAGAAAGAGCATATGACAGTGCGGAATCAACGTAGAATAATAGAAAATAATCACTGTAAAGATTCTTGAGTGTATATATAATAACATGGAATACACATTTTTAAGTTTTAGAAAATTTCTCCCCGTCTTAGGAAATTTTTTTCCCTTAAATTACATTGTTTAGACCCACTTTTCTAAGTTGAACCTTTACTCGGTCCCACTATGCATATTTTTTATCAGAAAATGTATTGTCCTTCTATGCAAGTTTTAGAGACCTGACAAAAATATGACTTGATTCTTTGAGATCTAATTGCTCTCCCATTAGGTAAGTCTTCCAACGTGGTAATTTTATAGCTAGCTTTATTTTTGTTTTGATTCCAAAGAAACGATCATAATGCATTCCTTGATCTTTGTTAAACTAACATTTTGTATTTCATTTTATATGGATTTAGACACCAGTGGTTTACTTGTGTGAAATTTGTGCAATTCACTTACTGGGGTAAAACAAGTCAGTTTAAAGATGTGTCCTATTGTTGTACAATGTGCTTCATTTATTTTAAGTTCTGTTGTTCGTGTAGTTTTAATTTTCAAATTTTCTGGTGAAACAAGATAAAATGGGCCCCAACTTTGTTTCTGCTTGTCCAGGTGTACCTTTAGAGAAAAAAACCCCAAAAACCAGTTTTGTTTTGTTTTTTTTAAATAGAAATGGCCATGGTCCCAATACAGAAAAGTAATGAAATGTAGTGCATTTTAGTAGCAACTTGCTCCAAAAATCTTGTTTGTTTATGTATTTTTTCTTAAGTGGTTTGTCTCACAGAATCACAGAACGATCTAGGTTGGAAAAGACCTTGAGGATCATCCAGTCCAACCATTAACCTAACACTGACAGTTCCCAACTACACCAGACCCCTCAGTGCTATGTCAACCCCACTCTTAGACACCTCCAGGGATGGGGACTCCACCACCTTCCTGGGCAGCCCACTCCAATGCCTAACAACCCGTTCTGTAAAGAAATGCTTCCTAACATCTAGTCTAAACCTTCCCTGGTGCAACGAGGCCATTACCTCTTGTCCTATTGCTTATTACTTGGTTATAGAGGCTCATCCCCAGCTCTCTGCAACCTCCTTTCAGGTAGCTGTAGAGGGCGATGAGCTCTCCCCTCAGCCTCCTCTTCTCCAGACTAAACAATCCCAGTTCCCTCAGCCGCTCCTCGTACGACCTGTGCTCCAGACCCTGCACCAGCTTTGCAGCCCTTCTCTGGACATGTTCGAGTAACTCTATGTCCTTTTTGTAGTGAGGGGCCCAAAACTGAACACAGAAATTAAGGTGCGGCCTCACCAGTGCTGAGTACAGGGGTGAGATCCCTTCCCTGTCCCTGCTGGCCACGCTATTGCTGACACAAGCCAGGATGCCATTGGCCTTGGCCACCTGGGCACACTGCTGGCTCCTGTTCATTGGGCTGTCAATCAACACCCCCAATCTCCAGCCACTCCTCCCCAAGCCTGTAGCACTGCTGGGGGTTGTTGTGGCTCAAGGGCAGCCCCTGGCATTTGGCCTGATTGAAACTCCTACAGTTGGCCTCAGCCCATGGCTCCAGCCTGTCCAGGTCTCTCTGCAGAGCCTCCCTACCCTCGAGCAGATCAACACTCCCACCCAACCTGGTGTCATCTGCAAACTGACTGAGGGTGCACTCAATCCCCTCGTCTAGATCATCAATAAAGATGTTAAACAGGAGTGGCCCCAAAACCCAGCCCTGGGGGACAACACTCGTTGACCGGCTGCCATCTGGATTTAACTCCTTTCACCACAACTCTTTGGGCCCGGCCATCCAGCCAGTTTTTTACCCAGCAATGTGTGTGCCTATCCAAGCTGTGAACAGCCAGTTTCACCAGGAGAATGCTGTAGGAAACAGTGTCAAAGACCTTGCTTAAGTCAAGGTAAAAAACGTCCACAGCCCTTTCCTCATCCAATAAGCAGGTTGCCCTGTCATAGAAGGAGATCAGGTTTGTGAAGCAGGACCTGCCTTTCATAAACCCATGCTGACTGTGCCTGAGCATCTGGTTGTCCCGCATGTGTTGTGTGATGGTGCTCAGGATGAGCTGCTCCATCAGCTTCCCGGGCACCGAAGTCAAGCTGACAGGCCTGTAATTTCCCGGATCATCCTTCTGACCCTTCTTATATATGGGCGTCACACTGGCCAATTTCCAATCTGTCAGGACCTCCCTGGTCAACCAGGACTGCTGGTAAATCCTGGAAAGTGGCTTTGTGAGCACCCCAGCCAGCTTCTTCAGCAATCTCTGGTGTATCCCATCGGGTGCCATAGATATGTGTGTGTCTGTGTGATGCAGCAGGTCACTGACTGTCTCCTCTTGGATTGCAGGGGGGTT